CCGCTAAAGCGCAAACAAAATATTTAGGTCCGCAATTAGTGGATTTGCGCTTTAGGGGACTGGTGCCCACCACTGCAAACAGGCATCATAAAAGTGTGGCGTGAATTTGTCTTCAGCCTGTTAATTGTGAACGACAGGCACAAGCTTACTGAGCTGGCAGAGATCATCTACAGAGAAATCCCCGTCTCTGAAGTGAGAGTTTTTTCTCCTGAAACACAAAGGAACAAAGATCAGAGGACAACAAAGAAAGAGAAGCTGAAACAAACAARTAAAACCCACCTCTGTTTCTTTATAACAGAAAACTTCTCTGAGACRATGTGCTTCAAAAAATTGAAGCAGAAAAAGAAAATCTGAGGAGAGAGTAGAGAAAGATTCATGTAGTGAAATTAATGTTATTTTAAAACCAGAGCAGGGTTCTATAAACAGGTTAAACAGAGTCAGCCTAATGTTTTTAAAGATACACAACTTTCCTTTAGTCTTATTTATGTGACACACTGAGCTGAAGGCGTGGCTTATTCACCTCTTCTCCTTTGGAGAGTCGATCTGGCAGCATGTGACTAAAAACACAAAGTTATTACAGGTTAGCTGTTGTAAAAAGAACATTTATTCTGAAAAAATGAAGAAGACAAGAAGTCTACAGTTAAAAACACCTTTCTAAGATCACCATGTCCTGCAGACCAGTCAGACTAAAGGCTACACTGAGGGTCAGTTTTTTATTTTTACACAAAGTAGGATCTTAATAAAATCCTTTATTAAGGAAATGATTATGAGCAGTGTTTGAGGATTGCTAAGTTTTCTGTTTTTAGTTTTATGGATTCCATGTTTTATAAAACTAAATCAAACTCTCTTTAACCTAACAGTTTATTACCTCCGCCAAGGGGTGAGGTAATGTTTTCAGTCGCGTATGTCTGTTTGTCTGTCTGTCGTTCTGTCTGTGGACAAAATTACTCAAGAACCTGTGGACGGATTGTCATTTTTACCACATGTGGGTATTAGCCAAAGTAACACATCTTTAAAGTTTGGTGAGGTTCCGGATCACGATGCAGATACAGGAATTTGTTTATTTCTTTTAACCCTCTGAGCTCGAAAGCTGTGATGCATTGACAGGGCTTCAGTAAAAATAGTGACAGCTTCCAGTGTTCATTTGAACTGGATTGAACATCAATTCTATTTACTTCCAAATAAAACCAGATTTAATGATGAATAATTTTTGCCATAATGTGCACATTTTTATGCATTTGATGCGCAATTAGAGAACGTTGTGTGACCAGGAAGTGTGTGACTGCACCATGAAACTCATTTTTCCCATTTCCCCAAACACACCACATTTCCAAAACAACCAATCAAAACAGTTCCTCTGTACTAGCCTTGCAGAGAGCTTCTGGCCGGGCCTCAAAGTTTGGACACGGGAGGAGAACAGATTCATTTTGGCMTTTTGGAAGCGAGCAGATTAGTTTTTAGACCAGACAGTGTGTGAGTGTGTGCGCCAAGGTGGGGAGGTAATGTTTTAATGTTTTTTTGGGAATAACAGGACACCGACAGCGGGAGGTCCTGCTGCAGCTGCTGGACTGTCCGCGGGAACACCTGATCAACCTGGTATCCCMTCCACATAAGAACTTTATTGTGTGATTACTGTGAAGTTCGTGGGAGTGTTTGTGCTGAAAGCGCTCACACGCTGTATTTTGCTTCTCGCTAACTCATAAAAGGGGATAAAAAAGACGTTTTACACAGTGGAATTTGACTGATGAAAACTTAGGAGCTTCATCCGAGACCAGTTTGACGATGAATAACGTCGGGTCTGACTGTTTTTTTTCACATTGGACTCCACCAGGAAGAAATCCCGTGCATACTGCCTGCTCAAATGTTCGCTACGTCAGAACTTATTCGGCAAATGTGTTTCCATCTCTGCTTTTGCACATTTACTCTATTACAGGATGGGGGAAATTGGTCTTGGCGGAGGTTTGCACTCTCCGAGTGCTTCTAGTTATATAATGGATTGGTAAAATATCCACAAATACAGAAAAAATGCTTTGGTTCTACCAAACATTTATATATTTATTTCCCGTTGTTTAAAAAGGGAAATCCCAGTGAGATGGCAGATCTATTTTTAAGAGAGGTCTGAACCTACTGTACATGTTGTTGGGGGGTGGGGGAACCGGAGTACCCGGAGAAAAAAAACACGTTTTAAAGCTTGTTTGAGGCTTAAAAACCTGCCTAGAAGTCATTTACACCAAAAATATGTTGGTGTTTCCTGAGACTGAGGTTCCTCATGTTTCATGAACAAACGGTTTGTATTTTTATAAAAGTGCTTCACATATTTAAAACCACACATTTCATAGTTTGTACATAAAATATAGAGTGACTATTGTATTATAATTATGTGATACGTATTGTATTTTTCTGCTAGGTTTTCAGTTTGAGACATACAGATGTAATTTCTTTGTAGCAGAAATATGTTATTTTGCACCAACAGCTACAAAGTCTTTAAGAAACTTTGGATGAYGTGTTAGCTGAGGTGCTAAGCTAATGTTAGCTCCTCTGCTTTGATCGGGATGGTGGCAGACAATGATGTGTTCTGCAGCTCAGACGCTCTGAGAAGATGAAGTGTTGTTCTGTCTGAGTTAAGACTGGTTGGGAYATCATGAAATGAAGGTAAAGATAAAAATAAATATATATTTTTTACCCAAACAGGAACCAGTCGTAAGCCACAGTCAGATACAGGATCTCAACCGGCTCCAGGTTGGCATGCACGACTCCATCCTGTGAAAACACAGCTTGTGTTTTGTCTCGTTTTATTTGACATCAGCACTCCTGCTGCTGTTGGACAGGTTAGCCCATATCTTTCAATGTGTCCAAGGGGAGAGGGGAGTTTTAAAACGGAAAGATAAACTCCTGAGACCCAGTACAGGGTGGCACAGCTACAGTAAATACATACAGACTGAGCTAACAGGAAGACGAGGGAGGAAGAGTCAGAACTTACAGCCCAGAGGGAGAGCCTGAGGAGGGAGACGAACAGAGGGGTTCGGTCCCACCCTGATATGCAGTGCACCAGGAGGCCGCTGTCATCTGAAACACACAGGCCTGATGTGAATACACACTGACTGATGAGGAGCAGATAGTTTTCTGTTAGCTGCTCCATCTGCCTCTCACTCTACAGACTTTGTCCAGTTATTTATATAGCATATAAAAACAACAAATGTATTCTGTATTTTCCAGCTTTAAATGAAAAGCTCCCTGAATGAGAAGCAAAGAGTCTTCAACCACAGAACAGAAATCTAACTGCTTTGGGCATTTTCTGAGTTAACATTTTAGGTTTTGATGTGCTGCTATAAAAAACATGTAGCACCTAAGAGATTTGTTTTGATTTGGTCCTATGACTGGTCAAAKTTCATCTGTGTAATATTATTCTTTAATTAGTATCAAGTTAAGCAATGTGTTGTTTCAGTTGATAATTACTAGTGGTGCAACAATACATGTACCCGTATCAAACCGTACCGAACAGTGCTGTATCGAACAATACAGATTTTAAAAATTTACTTTATCAACTTGTCTTCTGAAGATGCTCTGTGTTGAAGGATCAGTGGATCTGTGCTCGACTACTCCACCTAGGCTGCATTTTTTAGCACAGATCCACTGAGAAACTTGCTGTTTCTGCAACATTTAATAAAAAAAAAACTGTACTTTTGAGGTTAAACAAATGTTCATAATTAATATAAATAAATTACAAGTTAAAAGGGGCATGGACATTTTTCTTTTTTGTATCGAAAAAATATCGAACCGTGAGACTAAAGTACCGAACCGTGAATTTCCTGTATCRTTGCAGCCCTAGTAATTACATTGTGCAKTATTGATGAAAATAATGAACACAGAGACAAATTGATTAGCATGTGTAGTTTTACATCATGTCCATCCACTTACCATCATTATTGATGATGTGGAGAAGCAGCTTCAGGTAGTTCTGGGTCTGTTCCACCAGGTCCCATGACTGGATCACACACACACAAACAGATTACAACAGAATGCAGACTCCACATTGAAACTTTAAACCTAACCAGACTCTAAACAGCAGTCTGTCTCATTCATCTGCTTCTTTACTTAGTTAATCTTAATTTAACAAAGTAAATCCACAGATCTCTTCTGGCCTGGGCCTGAAAGTCGGTCATCAGTAACTCTGAGAGGAAACTGTAGTATTTGATCTAAAACACGTCAYCCTGGTCCTGAAACACTGCAGAGAACCAAAGAGTCACACAGCTCACAGCAGAAAGAGAAAACTGAACAGACAGAGGAGAGCAGACCTGGTACTGATTCCAGTCAATGTTCAAGTTCTGAGTAAAGCACACAGGGATTTTCAAAGGAGCGTCCACAAAGTCCTGCGAAGACACAAAACTGTCAGGAAATAAACAGCTCTCATCAGGACCTGAGAGCACAGGAGTCCATACCTGGTTCCAGTTAAACACTAGACCCTCAGCTGTGTAGTCYCGATCTTTATATTCTTTAAAAAACTCACAGCCTGGAATGAAAAAACAGATTTCACACAGCTGGAAACAAATACAGACTTTAATACAACAAATCAAATCCAAACTGTGAGGAAAAAACTGGATCAGTATCATCTTTACTGCACAATTTAAACTTTATATAAGGTGTATGGTACTCTCCTGACCTGATGACAGTAATTACAAATATATCTGCTTATACTATAAATGACAGTGAGAATGAGAAACAGACACCTTTACCTGGGTAAGGCACAGAAAGTAAGGTGAAATCTGCATAGCGTTGGGCCTTGTCCACCTTCTCAGAGGACGTCACACTGTAAGACATGAGGACACACATCAAAGGAGGTTAAAGCAGCAACTCAACCACAAAACAGGGTTTTATATTTCTTACAACTAAAACACTCCAGGTTCATCTGAAAATATGTTTACTCCCTGAGAAACAAAGCTTTTCACAGAACAGCAGGTGTCAAAACAYAGCTTTACAATAAAACACAGATGAGTCTGAGACACCAGCAGCCATCATTTCTTACTGTCAGGTTAGACTTGTTGCACCATACTGTTGATGTGACAGGACTGTGAGCCTCTAACCTCCCACTAATGATTAGAGACTCAAACAGCTGCAGCCCAGCACAGCTCAGAGGCAGAGTATCTTTATTGTTGTTGGAACAAGCACAWCAGAAATAAGTGTTGTTCTTTATGGTGTCAAAAGACATAAAAAACACTAAAAGAGATTAATTTATGAACGTGTCACCTAATTTCCCTCTGGCATCAATAAAGTATTTTTGAATTGAATTTAACTAATTATAAAACCAAAAGAGCAGTCAGACAGCACAGCACACTGAGTTACACAGAGAGAAATGATTGCACATGGTCACTGCTCATACCAGAGGCTACGTGACATTTAATACTGTGATGGCTTCAGGAGAAGCTGCTCACTGTTTTAACCCTTTCAGCCCACAGGGTTTTAGAAGTCTCAGCTTTGGTTCTTGTGTGTGCCCTGTACAGACCACTGGACTTAACAGGTAAGGCTCCTGCACCCCTTGCCTGATGCCAGTGGTATGAATGTGATGTGACCTGGGTGTAGGCTGGAGTAAAATCAAATTGTGAGCAATTAATCAGACTGACAACAATTACTGTATTTATTCATGTATAATAAGAGAAAATTAACCCCAGAAATCATTCATAAAGTGTGTGTGTGTGTGTGTCTGTGTCCTTTAGATTGATTGTTTTGTGTATACAGAGCCCTGAGAAAACAATTGTTGTGATTTGGCACTATAAAAATAAACTGAATTGAATTTAATTGAAATGTAGTATTGTACACAGGAGTACTTTTTAACTAAATTTTTAATGTACAACTAAAATAAGTTTCAACATTTCCTTGTATATTACTGAAATATGGCCTCTCCTCTTTTGTAAGTTGCACGTAGTGAAGCATGTCATCAACAGCTGTTTCAGAAGAGAAAAAAAATAACATAACATCATCATAACGAGTAGATCTTTTATGCTTTTTAAAGGTGACCTAATATGGGGGTSCTAGAACAAGTTAGGATCCATCTGTGGGCTATACAAAACATGTTCATTTGATTTAATTCACAAAATTAATCTCATATAATGAAATTTTCCCATTTCAGTTCTGCCTGTTCTTCAGCTCTCTTCAGAACCTGCTGCTTTGCATAAGTAGTTATGGAAAACCCCTCCCAACCTTTTGTTTACATTAGCTCCGCCCCCCACCAGAAGTTTCCTTTCAGTTTCCTTTCAGTTGAAAGTACTATTTTTCCAAAGTAGTTCATGGTGAAAATATTTACACAAACTTTCTTTAATTTTGCTAGAACATCGCCATAAAATAAATAAATAAATAAATTAATTAATTAATTAATCCACATATCTCTGTTCTCCATGACTGTTGTAAAACAGCAGAACTGTCCTGTGAAGAAGTGGGTGGAGTCTCTGCCTGGGTTACCAGGAGACGAGCTGGGCTCAGGTGGGCTGGAGTGCGACTTGTGATGTCACAAGTAGCGGTGTTTGAAAACAGGTCATTTCAAGACACAGAAAAATACATTTACTGAGAGTAAAAATACAGCTGAGTGCATTTGTTTTGGTGACTGTTTTTAGAAGAGTAGAGACCCAAATGTAAGTTAAAAAAACTGAAAAAAGTGAATTTTGCATATTTGGTCCCCTTTACGCTCAAAACTGATGGTGATATAATACATGAATAAATAGTGTAATATTTTTCACTTTGTGGTCACTACAGTTACTGCCACTTGATGACACATTTTTGTATGACTCATATTTTCAAGATGTGCATGTGAGTGGTGGTGTTTTGGTTTAGTAAGGATGTGTTKTTCCACACTGTGGAAAAGGTGGGTTTCAGTTCACAGCAGACTACTTCAACCTGTTAAATGAAGAASTTAATTTGATGATGATTTATAATATTAGAGTTTTAAAGTCAGAATATTGGCTAAATGTCAGTTAATTGTGATTAATTTTTCTGCCAACATGACTCAACCCTGCCTGGGTGAGGGGAGGTTTTTAAAATGTTTCTGAGGCAGTGAGAGCTGTGCAGCTGTTCAGGAAAGAGCATCCAGTGTTTCTCTTTCTGCTACTGGACACACGGAGAACCACACACAGATTTTGACTAATAATAATAATAATAATAATAATAATACCCTTTATTTTAACTGATAAGTCAGTTTAAAACATTTTTCATTTCCAGTGACTCCCTTCATTATTTTAAGCACCAGCTCCATCCAGCTCTGCAGCGTTACTAAAGAGATCAGATGAAGTGTGTGAGGTTTCTTACTTCAGACCAAATTTAACCTTCTTGTTCTCCACCATCAGGTCACAGATGAAGCGAACGGAGAGGTAGCGCAGCAGCTTAATGTCGTGACCTCTGACCTTGTCAAAGAGCTGGGATTCTCCATTCCTAAGCAGCAGGACAGGAGGTTTAACATTTATCTGACAGAGCAGACACAAAGTTACATCTGATGACAGAAGGAGGAGGTTTTATATTACCTGACTGCACTCTCATCGTCTGGAAGCTCTTCTGACTCTGTCCAAGTGTCRTCACTGCCCCCTAAACACAAACACGCTTCACAACCTGCTCAGATATGATGAAGCTTTTCAAGTCACAGTCCTGCTCCACGTGTGTTTCAGTAGTGATGTAGTTTAAWAGAACTGCAGTGAGGGCTTTACACAGCACCTCTGCTCTCATGATGGTATAATTTCCTCTAAAGACCTCGTTCAGACTATGGTTGGGAAAAATCATATCATGTGCAATTAATTGTCAGAAAAACTTTAATCGATTATTTTTTTGCACTTGATGATTAATGCCATCAGGCAGGCTGACTRGAGGTTTCCCTGGTCAGTCCGCTCGATGCTCCTTTCTAATTCAAATACTGTCTTTATTCATGTATAATACTAGAAATTTAACCCTGGAAGTCATCCATAAAGTAGTGGGGTAGTATTATACACAGGTTATTGATGGTTAGATTCTTTTTTGCTTTTGAAGCTCAAAAAATTATGATTGTATTATACATGAAGAAATACGATATAACAAACATTTTTTAAAAAGTTCTGTAATTTATTCATCATAACTCTGGTTTTACTTGGTCTGTCAACAATTTAAAAGTTGATGTAAAGCCTGAAGTCTGTACTTTTGACACAATTTGGAACAGAATTTTACAGAGAGAAAATCATTCCTATTAGAGTGTTTTAAATTGGTCATGTGACGAGGGCATGCAGGGGTCCAGGGGATTGATAATCTTATTAATAGTTGTTGTTAAATACCACAATTAATCCTGCTTAATTTTTTTTGCCATTATCACCCAACCCTAGTTCAGACCTGACAGCAGTGTTGTCAGGTCCATTTATTATAAGCGACTTTGAGCTTCTTTTTTTTCTAATGTCGCTTGTAAATTCTGTGAGTCGCAGGTTGCGTTTTTTTTTTTGGGCTTATTTTTGAACGTGAGTTGCTCATTTTGGGCTTGTCTTTCTTTTTGAATGACATGTTTAACTCTGCTCCTGTTGAAGCAGAACACAAGGAGTAGTGGGCTTGTCCCTCCCATTCACCCGTTTCCTGGTTGTCGCTCCYGCCCAAGTTGAGTCGGCACACTTCAAACACCAGAGCCCAGAGTGACGAGGAAACAAGCAGGGATGAGGCAGTGCGGTCCGGTCCGGTTCAGAACTTATGACAGGAGACTTGATACAGCGCACATGTGCGTCTACTTCTAAAACACAGTGGGGATTGGTGCGCTCGATTTAATGGACTGGGACATTTTACACGGGTGGTGCACAGACAAAAAAATAATAAATAAAATACGCTGCTTACATTGGGATACAACTACAGTACAGTAAAATATTGATAAGTTTTAMTTTGTTTGGAATTTGCTGATTAAATTGCATGAATTGTGAGAGAGAGAACAATGTGAGCCAGAGCCAATTTTTTTATGTCAACAAAAACTACTTCTTCACCTCTGGATATAAGTGACAAAACAGAGTGARAATGAGTTGCACTAAGTCAGGAAAATATGGGGAAAAATATAATAAAGTGAGGGGAAAAGAGTGCACAAAAGTTTTTGGGAGTTTCTGTTGATTGTACTGTCATTTTGCTGCAAAATGCACTCTTCTTATGATCAGAGTTCAAAAGTAAATGTTATTAAAATAATTTAAATTATTCAAACAATTAGTTATTATTTTTTACCGTAACTGTTATCATAATTTTGCTGTTGCTTATGTATAATGTAATAATAAATGTATACGTTTATACTGTTATAATTTAYTTCTATTTTACACAATGTTGGGGTTGCCAGTCGGGCTTATTTTGGGCTTGTTTTCATAGAGCTGGTTTCTTGTTTTTGTCTGCCTGACAGTGTTCATTCTGGGTATTCTGATTGCATCTGTATGATAAATGCAGGCGTGAACAGCTTCAGTGCACATTAAAGATGTTTTCACTTGGACCACTGTAGGAGCTCTACTGAACTGATGTGACTCCGCCCACACAAGCAGTGGAGCTACTAGCTGAATGTTACCCCATTGTGTACTACACTGATGCCAACTGTCCTGCATTTAGAAATCATTTTTTAATCTCAGCTTGGTTTAGTGTTTTCCAAATGTTTTATTCAGTTCAGCTTCAGGATGAGATAAATGTAGTTTAGAGTCTGACCACTGAAGGACTTCAACTCTGTCATTTTGAGGAACTGAACTAAAAAAGCCTGAACTTCCTCTAATGTTGATAAGTTTAAACAGCACGTGCTTCAGTCTGTGTTTGTGTTTGGTACCTGAGAAGATGTAGTTGTAGCCTGTGCGTCCATACAACTCCCCCCATCCTGCAAGAGTGGAGGAGCGGCAGATATGCTGAAAGAAGAAGAGTCAGAGGAAAGAAAACCTAAATAATTCATTTTCACCATGTTAYAACCAATAATATCCTGTTAGGACTGGATTTACAAATCCTCATAATCTGTTTTCATTTATGTTTTAAACAACGTCTCAACTTCACTTGAGTTAGTGTTGTCATGTAACTGTGTACTTTGTATTTTATGGTTCATTTCATCCAGTTTAGATTATTTTAAAGGTATCATATCTAGTGCTGTACCAAACGATTATTTTCTAATCTATTAATCTAACGATTATTTTTTTGATTAATCGATTATTCTAACAACAAATCTATAAGTTATTCTGATGTGAGTGCACTGGATATTTAAAATGTTTTCATCAAATTAACAAGAACCGTTCTTTAATATTGTAATATTTTC